AGTACCTGAAAAACATTTATATTAAACTGGGTAAGCATGTATATTACTGAGTTCCCCAAAATACCATATATCACAATACATATATGATGCATACACATAATGGCCTTCAGCATAAAGTTGGTCCTCCCTTGGCCTTCAGCACGAAGCTGGTCCGCCCTTTTCACCTTCAGCATAAAGCTAGTCCGCACCTTGGCCTTCAGCATAAATTTGTTCCGCCTGAGTCTATTGGCCTTCAACCCGAGGTTAGGCCGCCCTCAACCCGAGGTTAGGCCGCCCTCAACCCCCCATATAATATATCAACACATATAAACAGTAAAATAGGCAATAATCCAATACTACATGCAACTAACAAAACTAGCCTAATGGCATACTATAGGGAAACTATATCCTAACATATAGATGATATATACTGGAACGCATAATATAGTGAGAAAACTCACATGGACAATTACTCAGACGATTGACAGTTATCTGGGTGATCCTACTGGCGATCCAACTGGCAGGTAGCGTGCCTAACAAGTATTAACTTATAAGACTATAACTTACTAATTTTTATGAAAATATGGTAATGAAATCTAGATATTTTACTAATCTCAATGAATACTGAGAGTTCTATCAAATAAGGATCAGCCAGGCCGAAGAATTGGGAGGCAGGACCATTTCGGCATTTAGCCTTTTCTAAAACCCAACAACCAAGCCAACGTGACCATTCTAGACACATCTCTCGTAAGTAGATCAATCAGTATAGTAACTGGAATTACTGATAAATCTTATTTATACATTTATAACAACGACTATGAATATAATTAAAAGTTACACTTAAAGCGTGGTAAGTTTAGCCGAACTTATAGAGATTTTCTAGTGAAAATTTGGAAAAGTCGTGGGCAGGACCCCGATATCGTGCACTTCTTTATGCCTGGTCATCTGCCTCAAAGCCTTGCTAGAATGAGATTCCTCAGAACCCAAGAAAATTGGACCCAAAGAATCATAGAGAGAGAGAGAGAGGAGAGGGAAGGGTTTTGGTGTGTGAATAAAGGAGCCAAAACAGCAAATTATAGACTTTGTAGGGGCCGCACAAGTTGTCTGGGCGCGTCGTGCCCTTGGTCGGTCGTGTTGGCTGGAGCCTCTCGTACGTTGTCACGTGTCGATGCCAGATGGAGCCATGTCACCTTCTTCTAGAACATGCCACGTGTCATGTTTTTGTGGCGTCACATGTCGTAACCGTGTGGTGCCACGCCACCATGTCGGGTAAAGAGTCTGGCACTTCTTCTGCCATGTGTCGCACTCCGGTGCTGCCATATTATCACATCAGGTATTTTCTTGAAATCTTCGGACGGCCATATTTTTCGCATACAAGCTCCGTTTTCGACATTCTTTATATCCCCGGAATCCTCTCGACAAGCTCTACAACTTTCTTTAAGGTCTCAACAACTAATTCCCTCTCTAACTAAAATTCATATTTCGACCGGTTAGACTGTTAAAGTCTGCAAAATTCATAACTCCTTCATATGAACTTTGTTCTCAACTGTCTTTATATGGACGGGTTCATATTCACGAGATCTTCAACGCTCATTTAGATTGTTTCGGCTAACAATCAATCGATTTGGATTTCGATTTCTATGCTCACACTACTGCCTTGAAACTTCTAAAAATCATAACTTCGTCATACGATGTTAGATTTAGACGTTCTCTACATTTACGTTCTCGGTTTGACGATTACTACAACTCTCGTTTAGATTACTTAGACTAATAAGTAATCTATCTCTGATTCGTATTTTACTCTGCGCATAGTCGTGTCAGTTTAATCACGAAACTTCGGAGAAGCCTAAGTTCTTCAAACGAAGTCGGACTCAGACATTCTATATATCTACGAAAATCGTATTGATGTTTCCTACATTTTTATGATGATTACTTTGGCTAAAAAGTAATATATCTCTACTTCGAATTTTATAAAAAATGGTTTATATTGAATTCTACCGAAAAGTGAAAATAAGGTGTTACAGTAATTATCATATCGGACAAAACTATCAATTTAAGTGATCGCACAAATTTAATAATTAATTGACCAAACATGGCATTAACCATTGTTTTTATATATAAGTTTGTTTGTACAAGTATTGGTAGCATTTGCAAATTTCATTCGGATCATGGAAAACATAAAATTGTTTTGTTTTGCTATCTAATATTTATTGTATTTTGTTGATGCAAGTGGCATAAATGGTCTTTAACCATATTGCATGTCCGTTTTGTTGTGATTATTGATAAAATTATAAAAAAGTATAATTTTTGTTTTCTAGTATATTCTCTATAAAATGATGTTACAACAAATCAATATTTAAGATACGAGTTCGGATACCACATTAGGATTTGTGTCGACACCTGACCTGGATGGATTTGCTATATAACGAACAATGGTTTGGAACTTAGTGAAGATTTAATCCAAGTGGAATTTGTCGTCAAAGGGAAATGTTATTTTGTAAACATTTTTTTTTTAGACGGATGATATTATAAAAACGTTTTTTTATTAATATATATATATATATATATATATATATATATATATATATATATATGAGATTCTTTTGCCGGTGCTACCATGGACCCACCCTAAAACCGCCCTCGAATGTCGTAAAGTGATTTGAGGGCTTAACTTAATCAAAAGTAACAAAACCTAGTCTTGTATTATGCATTTTGATAGGTCCTCAAATACTACTTGTGTTTCTGGATATCAATTTGACATTGACTTGAGCGTGTTCAAGACACTTGCACATTTGAGACTATCATCCAAGATCGTCTTCATATTGTGCTTGTAACCAAAACCATAATCTTCAAGCTTCTTGGAGCCCCATTTGGTTTCTCTCTTATGTTCTTCAAAGTACCTGAAACAAGAACCCCGTTACAAATTTTGAAGTTAATGCATGTTAGTGTCCCACATCACCTAGTTACATTATCATTTGTTAATTTATATATATATATATATATATATATATATATATATATATATATATATATATATATATATAGTACCAATCTAACAATTTCAACCAAACTACAATACAATTCCAATTTCCAATTATGAAGATCAACTTACTCGTCTTTCAAATGAAGCTGTGGGTAGTTTTCCTGAAAATACTTGGCGATTTCTGCGGTTGATATGTAAGAGCTAGAACATAAGAATCTTCCATTAACCAATGGAGTCTCAGCACAAAAGATATGTGCTCGACAAGTGTCCTCAATATGCAAAATCGGGATTTTTCCTAACAATTCTTCCAAGTACTTTAGTGACTGGTAATGAGTCGAATGATTGATAATTTGTGATATCAACACCAACAAACTGTCTGGAGCATATGGTAGATGACCTCTCCCTCCCACCAGCCCACAACCTAATGTCACCACCTCCAGTTCACTTGCTTTCTCTTCCCCAATTTTCAACATCTCTTGCTCGGCTTTTGTTTTCGCTTCTGTGTAGTCCTAAAGAGAATCCCACAAACAAATTGGAAATTTTGTAACATATATAACGTAACCCTAATCAATCAAGAAACATGCAAAGAAAGAAATTACTAAAAACCTTTCTGTAATTATTATTGTAAGGGACATTGAGATGAAGGGGTGTCCAACAGCTTTCATCTATGGTGATCTTATAACCACTCCCATCATCTTTCAATGGTGAGGCTGCGACAACTGAGGCAGTGTAGATGAGACGCTTCACTGTCCTTGAACGTATGCAAATATCTGCGATTTCATTCACTGCACTAATTGTTGCTTCAACCGTATCATTGTACTGTAGATAATTAAGCACCATATATAATATCGTCATCAATAGTTTTAAGAATCTTGATTATATTTATTGGTCATGCATGATCTCAAGAATGTGATATATATACCTTGTAGCCAGTAGTGTGTAACAAGGGGGTTGCAACATGGAAAACAAAGACACAACCTTGTATTGCTTCTTCAAACTCTTCTGGTTTGTACATATCAGCTTCAAACAAATGAAGCTCGTCTTCAGCGTATGGGAAACCTCTCAAAAGCCCCACCTTGGATTCATCACCTGGTATGTATGTATGTATGTATGTATGTATAATTAAAATGATGCATATTATATTATGATGTAGAGGAATTAGCAGAGTGTTTGGGAGAAAAGAAAGGGTACATACCAAGGTTTCTAAGAGTAGCATGGACAGTGTAGCCACTTTGTAGAAGTGAGTGAACCAAGGCCGACCCAATATAACCACCACCTCCGGTGACACAAACCCTGCTCCTGTTCTTACTCTCCATTTGCATATTCAAGAATACAAAACCCCTCAGCTTTTATTCTTCTCTTTTTCATTTTATCTATTTTTATTCAATGGTTTCAAATTCACTTCAAAAACTGATAATGAAATAAAACAACTTGTGGTACAGATTAAAGACTACAAAAACCTAATTGCATGTGCATTTGCGGATGTTAAAGACAGAGATATCCTTAAAAGATAGGATAAGTGACAAAATTGCAGCCTTTAATATATACTATATAAGACAATCGATTTGATTTCAAACAATCCATTTTTAACAACAATTACTGGCTACATTTTTACATTTACCTATTATAAATATAACCCATTCAAGTTTAGTTTTCACACTAATTTCATACTCTTGATATTATTTCTTCATATCTATTACTTCCTAATGGCAGGCATATCAAACTCCAACTTTGGTTCATCTTCTAACAATTTGAAAGATTACACAATTATTTCAAATGGTATAAATGAAAGTACATTGTTATTTATTATATTTAATCTAAATTAAATACAAACAAAATGTTTCGACTCGCACTATAGATTTACCCTTTTTGACCTAGTACCTAACAATGATATACATAATTCTTTATTAACATCTACACCATAACCCATATGACAAGATCCTTCATTACTATGTAACATATCAAACATCTACAATTACCAATATATCAAGAACACAACATTGAAACCGTTAAACAAAAAGTTGATTGATTCTTTCCCTCAACCATGAAGAAGAGCTAAGCTAGCAGTATAATTGATAGCACGATACATACGAGGCAAACCACATGTCTTGAGATCAAACATCTCATTCTTGTTCACATCAAACAACATAAGCCTCCCATCATTTGTCACAATCAAAACCTCATTATCATTCTTCATCAACAATGGTGGAATTGATAACATAGGCTGTGAAATCACACAGACTTTCCTCCAAGAATCCGCCACTCCATAATCACTCAACACCCACATATCCCATTTTTCGCCATTGAGCTCAAGATAATGAGCACACAAGGTTAAAGAAGATGACTCGCCATATGAAGCCAGGTGTACTTGATTATAAGAAGGCCTAATGTTCTTTGGTAATTCAAGAACATGAAAAATCTCATCCTCTAAATCAAACGCCATGATTTCATGAGATACACCCCTAATTTCTTGCTTACAGGCTAACCAATTTACAAAACCCTTCACAAACACATTATTAGACCAACCCCTCATCAAATAACATGGAGCGATATTGTCTTCCTTTTTTTTCCATGAATCGGTACCAAGAGAATAAACTGATACACTGTTAGTGTTGGAATTGTCCAGATAATAAACAATCACAACGATCTTAAACTCACAGGTCCTTGAAACAAAACCAAACCCAACAACAAAATGAGAAACTCTATCGAGAATATAACTAGGGTCGTCGATTTTCTTCAACTTTTTAATACTAGGGTTCCAGAGAATTACCATACCGACGTTTGAGTAATAATTTGTATCGAAGAAACAGATTACACCCTTGTTTGATCCCACAATTCGGAGGTACCCATGAAGGTTTTTGTAGGGGATCTGAAGTTTAAGCGATTCTTGGAAGGTGATTGGGGATCTGAAGGAGTAGAATTGGTTGATGTAATCGGTGGATTCATAGTAGACGAGTAGGTGGTGGTCGTCGGCTGCGGCGGCGGAGGAAGAGAGGTGGAGTTTGGTGAAAGAAGGGTGGGAGATTAACGGTGGAGATAAAGTACATACAGAAGTGAACTGAATTAGGGATTTGGTGGGAAGACGAGAGAGGATGTCAAAGATGACATCTTGCGGGAGGTTGAAGATGGAGTGGGGAGATCTTGACATGATGAAGACTGTAGAGAAAGGGGAAAAACTGTAGTACTTTGAATTTCAGTAAAATAATTTATATTTCAAAATTAAATACGAACAGGGTAAAGGGTAATGGGATATTGTCTTCATTTGTGCTATCCGACTATTTTGTAGCTTATTAGTTTATCAAGTATGAATAATGAATCTATTATGTAATATGTATTTTAAAATCGTGACAAAATTCTTTCAAAAAGAAGATTGGCATACTTTATAAATTTATATGAGTAAAATAAATAATCTCATCCATAAGTTTTTATTAAAAAAAGTTTTAAATTCATATTTCTAAATAAAAAATAATAATTCACAATTTTTATTAAAAGCTAAAAAATTAAAATTTGTCATAAAATTCTAATAATCTATCGGTTAAAAAGTTTCACATGACTAACTCATAATCAAAATGGACGATATCAATTGGGATATGCTAGGAAAAAGTTTCACATGACTAACTCATAATCAAAATGGACGATATCAATTCGAGGCATTTTTGGGAAATAAAACCTAAAGGTTGCATTTAGTTACGGAAAAATAATTTTTATTTTTCGTTTTTCGTTTTCCCTCTTTCAGTTTTCTTTTTTAATTTTAATTTTTCATTGGAAATTTAGAAAACACGTTTAGTTAAAATTTATTCATGTTTCATTTTCAGTTTTAGAAAATTAGAAAATATGTTTAGATGTGCATTTTCTATCGGTTTTTATTTTTAGAAAACGGTAGTGGTGGTAGGGTGGGGGTAGGGGCGACAGTGGTAGCGGGTCAGCGGTGGTGGTAGTGATGACAGGCGGTAGTGGTGACGGCTGCAATTGTGGCAGTGGTGGTGATGACAGCGGCGGTGGTGGTCATGGTGGTGGTGTTGGTGATGGTGATGGTAGATCGATGATTGTGGTAGTGGTGTTGGTTAGCTGGGTGTGTCTGTGTGTCTTTGTGGGCGTGGGTGTGGGTGTGTGTGTGTGTGTGTTTGTGGGGGTAGGTGTGTGTTTGTTTGTTTGTGTATGTATGTTTGTTTGTTTGTGTGTGTATGGGTGTTTGTTTATGGGGGTGGG